AACTCATGATTTTTCATTCAGAAAATCATGCAAATGATAATTCTGATGAATAGTGAAGAAAATGAGAAGGTTCCACTAAAAAATATGGATTAGCCATGTTTTTACGAAAAAAATAGGTGAAACAAAGAAAGTAGAAAACTGTGATTCGTTATCAATTCCAGAAAGCTTAAATTATATTTTTTCTTATCCATCTTTTAAATTGGAACTTTCCGTTCACATATAGGCCGGGTTCGAATTCTAAAACCGTCTCGATGACATATTTTGATCATTTTGCAGAGATTGATTATATCCTGATTTTAGATTAGATGAAATTTATATTTTTCTGCGAAAATACATATATTTGTCGCCACCTTATCATATGTAAATAAAAACCAGTTTAAAAACTGGATCAATGGCTTCTGTTAATAATTGTACGTAATTAAAAGTTTGCACTTGATAAATATAATTGGTGAAAAGCGATTGTCGCTGAATTTCCGATATGGTTAAATGTTGTTTTTAAAAATTACTTTGATAACTGTGCTGAATTAAATAAGGCGCATAATATAAAATGAATTGTATTTGCATCTGTTATCAAGATTTGTTATTAATAATATTTATGTCGAATACTACGTCAATCATAGTATTATAACAATGCCAAAATAATCGACGTAAATTCATTAATCTAATGCGCAGAAAAGTTTTCGTAGATTTTAATTTCTTAAATAGTTTTATGATTTGTTTATAAATTATGAATTATTTTCTTGATTATTTCCACATTTTATAAGATAATTTGAACTTTTTGTAACAAACTATCGAAATAGCTAACCTATTATATATAACAAAACAATATTTTTTAATCAAGAAATCTTTGTGACATCTTTTGTTTTCTTGTATTGAATTCTTCTTACCTTTTCTCTTGCATATTTTGTTACAACATACCCCAATGTCACAACCTCACCCCCAAATTTGTCACAACCGTACCCAACGCACATTTTATAAACAAATCATCATTATGACTGGACTAACTTATCTAAGCAAAAACGAATTGCTGGTAATTAACTATTAATGTTCAACTTACATCAAAGTAACAAACAAAGTGATCTATCTGTATACAAGTAACAATTATTTAAGTTAATTAAAGAAATCGAACGAAAAAACTTTTGGCTCTATAAAAGCAATGCTGTCTAGAGACCATGTTAATGTAGGGCGCTGACTCAATGCAATAATGGAAACTTGCTCGAACAAACATACTTCATCTTTCACCCTTTGGACCCTATCACAGAATCAATATAGTTCAACTGTTATGACGACTGTCACTACTGTAACCTGGCACAACCTACATAATGCTATTTTTTATATTTTTAAAATATTGATCCTTTCATTAGGTCTTCGATTAATGAGTTTATGTAAGACAATACTGTGCGTAAGTTTTTTACAACCAAAGTTCATTATACGTTGTAAAAAAAATTGTAGCGTTCAGATCGTGGTCAAACTTTCAAAACATGGTCACGCCAAAATGTACTTACGTCCACGTTTTTTTTTGTATTTCGGCTTTAGTACATAGACTTCAATTACAATTTTTGTGATACGTGTATATAGAAACAGATAACAGAAATTTGTTTGCTTTGTTCGATCAATAAATTCGTAATGAAATAGCGTCATGAATACCCACGCTACAATCTGCGTAGCTTCGAAGATATGAGTTAGGTACTTATGAACAAGTACATGTGCACTCAAATTAATATCTAGCCACACTCTGTACACAATGTAGTCATAATAAATATATAGCAATTATCTACCATTTGATAAAACAATTGTCCTAGATCGTGAATTATTTGCAAAAAAAATAGATCAACTCGAAGGGGGAGGAGGTCTAGTAAGCAAAAATCACGAAATATCACATGGGGGAGAGGGGTTCTAGTAAGAAATCACGTGTATTTATTTTTTACCTCAATTTAAAAAAATCTAAAATTTGAAAAAAAAAATCAAACATTATACTATTTTTTTTAAATATGATATTGTGTTGGGGAAGGGGGTGATTTTAAATATTTCCACGTATCACCAAAGGGGAGACTGGGTCCTCAAATCCTTAGAAATAGCTCACGTGATTAATGGACGCCCCCTTATAGACACGTTCACTCTCTTAAAATTACTGTGAGTTGTTCAACTAAATTGACGTCGGAATTAACAACAAGAAGAATTATTTAAGAATTTATTAGTATGATTTTATAATAGTATTTGAGAATTTTGTCTCAAAATTGACAATACCTATAAATCTAGTTTATAAATTATCATGTACACCTGTGCTAAAACAAGTAATAGCGATAAATTATTAAAAAGTGAGAACAAAATGCACTTCAAAATCCACAGTTATGAGTGTGGATTTATAATACTATCAGATCATTTTGGAACAAAATTGAAACCAAGTTACATGAACTTCCCGATATGTGTGAATAATCGACTTAATCAATGAAAAATAAATCAATTTATGAGAGATTAAAAGTATTCCGAGTGGATCTATTGCACATAATTAAAAACGATCGAACACGAAGTATTTTCTAAAAGCAAATTTTCAAAAATCGATAAATTTTATAATTGAACCAGTTTCCGTAGGACTTTAATGGTTTAGTATGTTCATTGAGACCAAGTACTCTATCGTTATACCAAGTAAATTGTCTAGTTTTAATTTTAACAAACGTTAAAAAAACTACTCATTTTCTCAAACTTTGATGAATTTTTAAAATTAAACTACTTGTCGTGAGGCCGTAATATTTCAGTAAGTTCTATAAGACCAAGATATTTATCGCCGAAGAAAGTTCCATAAAAATACTTACAAGTCCAGTTTACAAATTATCGTGTATATCTGTGCTATAACGAATAATAAAATAAGTAATTGTAATTGTAAAATTATTTATTTCATAAAATGATTATAGAATTTCTAATCACCTATCGCTCGTTTTACACGTTTTCGATTTAACACGGTTTTAAAAATAATTTTTTTTGACGCAATTTATTCATTTTGGGCAAATATAAATATTCTTTAGACTTGAAATACTAAAGGTTCCCAAACTTTTTTGTATCGTGGGCCCCTGCCATGATTTCCACCTTGGGATAGACTCTACTTACCTAATACTAATTTTATGTAAATTTCTAACTATAGTGACATAAATTTTTCATTTAAACATTCATATAGTCACTATATTCACATTTAAATATAAATGTAAACTTCTAATAATATTAGTGAAATATAAATAATTAAAATGCACCTATATATACATTTATTAATTGATTTAAAAAAAGTAAGCATAAATAAATGATTTTAATGGAAAGATTAATTTCAATGTTTAATATTAAATTATTAACATATCGTGGATTTTCATTTCTTGGACCCTGAGTTTTTAGACCCAGGCTTCTTAAAAGTTTTCATATCCTTCTGCAGGTCAATATAGACCGCGTTGGAAATCATTGCTTCGAAGAGACTGTTTATATATTTTACATTTAATTTCAAAATAAAATTCAAGTAAATAGCACTATTTATAAGATTTTTGCTACTAATAAATCGTTTACTTTTTTTACAAAAATATAAAATAATAACGTCACTTGTGTGTCGTCAAAAGTGTGTCATTACATAATGTTTTGTAAGTTAAATGGATTCCTTATTAAACAATGGAAATTATTGTTTACAGTATTAATGATTTATTATCATTGCATATAAAATGAATGTTTTACTATAGAATTCCATATGTTGTCGCTTTTTTGTTACAAATAACGTAAATTGAAACTTGTTTTTACTCATTATTTAACACGTGCGTGTAGAATCAGTTATAAAGATGCGTTTGGCATTTTAATTTATTTGCATAAAACACGTGTATTTACGTGAATGGAATTATATCATGAATTAAATAAAAACAATTTTTTTAAAGATACTTTTAAGTCAATTTAGCAAAAAAAAATCCAAAAGTAATTTACAAATTTAAATTAGAATAATTTACTACACTTCTCGATTATTTGTAGGATGCTACAAATATTTCATAAAGGACATACTACATGAAATGCAATTGCTCTCTTTTAAAATTTAGAAAAAAAAATATAAAAATTTAGTATTTATTTTTCATTACTAACTTATTCTCTACCTTTTTTTAAATATGGCTATAATTTACAAATTAGCATTTCTACCTTAATCAATTATTCTTATGGTCATAATTTGGTGAAAAAGTACAATACAGATAATTGAATTTAAAAGAATACTTTCGTTTAAGTAAGTTGAAATAGTTAAGAGTATCGATATAAAGAAATAAAAAATATAATTTTCATTTTTTTATAGAAAACTTATGGGGTACATGGGAACACTGCCGTTTTTCGTTGCAATTTACCTGTTTGAGAACTTTATGAACACCTTATGTTTTAATATAAACTGGGATAATAAAACTCATTTAATGCTCTCTTGTTGTTTTCTCACATACTTTATAAACCATTTGAAATCAATAGTTATATTTTCAACAACGGGTAACATCTAAATGTTATCTGTAGTTAGTATTCTCATTAAATTGTAACAGTACAAAGCGTTTTATTTGTTCTCACTGTTAACTGTATTAATTTTTTATGAAAGGTATTGATGTTTTTATATAGAGATTGATATACTAGAGAGACGTGAAAAAAATCATTTTAATTATTTTCAAGATCAAACTTTTAATTATATATGTACCTACTACTTTCAGATGCCAACTAACATTACTTCTGATAGACATATAATTGATCCAAGTGCTTTGTTCCAAGATTGTTGACATTTTATTCGAATATTTTGTTCTTCAATTAAATTTTTAAATTTCTGTAGTTAGTAAAGATTCATTTCAGCGTACACATATTTTATTTGAATCATACATTTTTCATTTCTACCTTTGCTATTTATTATATTTTCTACATTATTTGTGAAGTGAATGTTATTGCAATATTAGGATTAAGGTTATAAAATATGTTTTATTCATTAATTATTATTAACAATTCTTTTAATATTGTTTCAGATATTCCATCTCAGGGATATTCGGTGGGAGAAACCACAGTTTTTGTCAAAATCTTTCCTAGGATTTTTGACTTTCAATTTGGTTTCTTACAGTCTTCTAGTTGCAGAGGTAATTATAAAAAAATATTATATTCGTATATTTTATACTTTTATGTAAAAAATTATTATAGCTAATTCTTATTGTAATCGAAATTTGAGTTTTAGTAAATTGGCGCCTATGAGAATGATAAATAGTTTCTATTTAAAAGCACTCATCGGCAAATTTAAAAAAATACTGCATTCTAATTCTAAGATTATTTTTCTCCATTCTAACTATAATTTTAGCCTAAAATAAATATGCTGCGCTTGACTATATAGGGATATTTCTTAAATTGGTAAATCTATTTGGTCTTTTCTGTACTAATTATAAGCTAATTTCTAAGAAAAAATAAAATTTCAGCTATGAAACTTCTAACTAAATTAAAAAAAATAAAAATATTTTTATTATATTTTGCTAAATGTATTTCGACAATTAATTCTTCAGCATTTAATATAATAGATGTACTACGTTTTAGTTTCCTTTACGTTAGTATTTGTTATAAAATAAATCTTACCGAATAAATGTCTTTAAAAATATCATATTTTAATATCGTGACTTAAATTTTAAGTTTACCTATGATTCATCATTTTACTATTGTATTGAAAAAAAATATTTCAGACATAAAAAAGATATCGGACGTCATACATCAAGTTCAAATATTAGTGCACCGTCTCGTACCAGATTTGTAATACATTCAACTCCAACTTGAATGCCAGTATATCATATACAAATATTATCCGAACAAATAAATAGAAAATAATATATAGATTTTAATATATACAAAATAAATTCTAAAATGATTTAATTTTAGGTGGTGACCACTCAATTTGCAGAGACTTCTGTAGAAGATCGAAGTTTTTACACTCATGTTTTCAATGGATGTTATGCAGTACTGCTATTTATCGTGGTAGTATTTTTCTTAATATACGGAGTTGAAGTTTACTTTAAGGTGGGTAATGGATAATTGAAAATAAATAACATTTTTACAAGATTTGTCAATATTTTTATAAAGATTTATTCGTAACCTTTCTACAATTTCATCCAGTACAATTATTTTTTAACATCTTACTTTTCGTAGGATTTTATCTAGTTAATGATAGTCTTACATAAGTATCTAAGAACATTGATTTAATGAATTATGCTAATATATGCTAAAAATTCCCTAATATTTTCCTACATTTTTATTCTCCTCATATTATAAATGAACCAGAATCTGGTCTAAAAATTGTTACTAAATTAAATTATGTTTTCATTGTATATTGATGAAAAAAATATATTATTAGTAATTAATTAATTACCATATTTTCCAAATTCGATCAATCATTTACCATTTATCCTTTTCCCCAGGTTCGTGGTGGATTCATACCAGAATCACTAGGATGCATAAATGCTCCCATAGCTCCACAGCAACAAAGACACCGGTCAATTTCAGAACCAGGACCATCCAATGAACAGTTGCAACCGTTGCAAGGCACCAGCTCAGAAGCTGGACCATCCAACAGGTCACCAGGTGGGCCAAATGGTATCCAGCATTGGCAACATACTGTAAACATTTCGCAACTGCATCAGTCGCGATTGGGATTGCTGAGTCAGGCGTTTATGCTGATTATTATTGTTGGATTTTTGTTTTCTGAAACTGTTGGAGATATATGGAAGAAAAAGTGAGTAATAAAGCAGATATAGTTTGCATCAGGCAAAATGAACATGAAGTTGCAACTAAATTTTCATTTGTAACAAAGATTTGGTAAAAATGATTGTCTTCACATTTTTTTTATTTACAGAGTACCAGTGTATTCTCGCAATTGGCACGATATAGCATTTCGTTTGGTGGAGATCGGCGTAGCTTTATGGTTTCCCTGTGTCCTTTGGAATTGTATGGCTCCTGAGCAGTTGTGGATCCTAAACCCAAGACGACTTCTAAGTCGACAGGTCGATCCAGCAGAATTATCATCTAACAGAGGAGGATCCGTTGCCGAAAAAGGCGAGAAGGTAAACCTCAACATTGCAATTTTTTAGATGTCTTTTAAGATAATAGGTAAGAAATATATTATTATACTTAATATTTCTGTTCTGCAGGTCTCTACACCTGATGAAGACGAAGCTTTCTTGAACGGCGGAGGAGAAGACTGTTGGATTTGCTACGACAGAGATCGTCCAGACCCGCTAATTCGACCTTGCAAATGTTCAGGTGACGTTAGCTCAGTTCACCATGACTGCTTGCGCAGATGGCTGGTCGAAGCCAGCTCTAAGGTAAATGAAATAGTAAATAGGAAATAGTGATCATTATTTTGTGAACTACATTTTTTAGTTTATGCAACTAATCATTTGTAAATTATTGTTGAAATTAATATATTGTCCAATATAATTTTATTGAGTTAAATTACTTTTTCTTCAGAGCAATTCTTCAGCTGATAGTCTCAAATGCAAAGTGTGCGGACATCCGTATGAAGTGGAAAAGTCAGACAGGTAATTTTAAAAAATTGATTGCAAAATATACAATTTTTCTTTATTGTAATGATTTGTTTTTCATTAATTTGTAGATTGGACTGGGAACGCGGTTTTACGCCCCAGCATTGGGCTCAAACTTTATCTTTAGTTACTTTAATGTGTTTGGCTGCTGCCGGAGCTTGGGTTACTGTGCAATTATTTGAAGATCCTATAGTTCGAGTGTTAAGTGCAGGTTTTGCACTTATAATAATCTATGTTTGTGTTAGGTAAGTGAAGTAAATAAACAGAAAATTTTTTGTAAGTGCAATTTAAATTTATATTTTAAAATTTATTAATTTCCTTAACCTGGTATTCATTTCAGGCATTTTTATCCAGTATCATCAGTTCTTAATAAATGTTTAATTTCAGATTCCTTGGATTGAACACTGTCTCTGCTTATCAGCGAGCAAAGGTGTCCTCTCTCAATATAATTGCTTCAAAAGACACCAGTTTCGCCAGCCTGGACGACACTCAGAAATCTTTAAATATACAATCTATAAGTGAGACTGTTGCTGTTGACATTACATCTGGGAAATTAGGCCTGGAGCAAGGATTATCTCCTAATGTTTGTCCAAATTCAACATAAAAATATATATTTTAAAATATACCATGATTATTTAGTAGCTGGAGAGTTTGAGGTAAATTTTAATGATCAGTTCATTGTTTGAAATTAGTTTTGAACACAGACAAAAAAACAAGCAGTTTGTTGATATATTTGAATTCAAAACAAACTTGCAATTCTCGATTGCACATTAAATTCTGTTTTTTTTTCTGATCACGGATGAAGAGATTTAAAAATTTGGGTTTTGGGAGTGTTACAAAATTCGCTCTGAGAATATACCGCGCGAATTCTAAGTTGTTTACTCTAATTTATATAAATTATATTAGAATGCTAAGAATGAAAGCAGTCAATCCCTAAATATAAAATGAGAAATAGTTTAGTTTTAAAGGCAGCGTACTCAATATAATTATAATAAACAAAACAAATTTTATCTACAATACAAACCCGTAAACGAAAACTTTTATGTTGGATTTGGTATAATTTCTTTTGTGATATCGGAAATTAAAAATTTCGTATAGTATATTTAGACTAGCTCATTACAAATGCATCTGATTGTATATAAACTCATAACAAAATACTTCTTTTTAGTTTAGGTGTAGATCACATCCTTCCCTTATTATCTAAGATATAAACTGTAGTGAGAAAAACGTACTTATAAACTATATACAATAGTATAACTATGAATAGCGATAATTATTTCATTTTCGTAGAAGACAAAGATCAATAAGTTATTGCTCATTAAAATGCTTCAAGAAATGATCGAATATGAATATTAAAATCAGTATTTAAGCAATGATGGCCATCAGCCAGAGTATTAATTTGTGCCATTATTATTGAATATCGTATATTCTTAGATAATTGGTTTCAATGTGATAGAAATTAATAAATATCATATTCAAGTAATAGAAACATATAATTATATTTTAAATTTGATACTATATGAAACGTAATGTTGCAAAATATTACTATTTGTTCGTTACTATCGATTTAAGAATAGTCTGTAAATTACTCACATGTATTGAAAGCATTGCATTGAAATTACACATAGAAGAATATTTATAAAAAGACACGGTGTTTAGTTTTTTTTATATTGAAGATGAACGTTTTATTTTATGTTGATAAATTTTATTAAATATGAACATTGATGGCTTACCCTGTAGGTGCCAATATATCTAAGTTTTATGTAATCATAAGATTATCCTTTAGAAATAAGGTATATATCTCTCAACTAGTGTTTTTGTTGATATTTATTATATTCACTGTGTGTATTTTTTCTCATAGTAATTCATATTTTACTAACCATTTCTATGACTTGAACTGTTAAACGTGTTTATTTTTATATATCTAGTTTTGAAAATATTACTATATATTTGATATTATATATTGGATTGTAAATATTGTATGAATATTATTTAATAATGAGTAAAATTTAATTTTATCTAAAAAAATATATTTTCCTTCTATTTAATTCTTCATTGACTGATTAGATTTATCAACATGGTCAATGTTGATAATATAATAATAATATAATTATTTTATTACTATCGGAGATGAACAATTTTCTCCAGCTGTCTTGACAATGACATGATCTAAAATTGTTATATAATCAGTCAATGAAGTAATTTCTATCCTGATACACTTTCCTAATCTTTTCTATTTTTTATGATTTCTGCTTATTATAATTCTATGTATGTACCTTCCTTTTTAAGGGCTATATTTTTGGTGATTATTAAGACAGTGAAACAAATCTGAGTAATAGATTTTTTTTTAAATAATATCACTATATTTACAATATTGCTATTACACATTTTGCTGTAGCAGTAGTCTTGTTCACTACTAGAAGCTGTAATCCCATCCCAACAAAATCATCAAACAACTGATACTTATTTCAACAGATTAGAAATTGCAGCATATATTAGTAAGTGGGAGTTAAATCAAGAATCACAAGAAGAAATTATGTAATAAATTAATGAAAAATTTCATTCCAATGAAGTAATCTGAAGAAATGCGCTCCAGGAGGCTTAAAGAATGTTGCCTATACATTCATCTTGATGGATTATAATTTGCTGCACACTATCAGTTGGTGAAAATCAAATCATGAATCACAAGAAGAAATTAATGAAGAAATTATGTTTGCAAAATATAATCAATATCAAATATAATGAAGTCCAAGTTATAGAAAAAAGCTATTAAACTATAGCTATATAAGTGAATCACTCAATAGAGTGAATACTACTTAATTTATGATTTATCCAATTATTTATGTGTGCATTTATAAGTACAAGTATATTAAAACGCAATAGCTCTTAGCTAGGATATATTGTTTATTCCGATTATTGATTATAAATAAAACAATAAATAATATCTCCTCCTTGAAAGGAAAAAGCTTTGCAGGACAGTGCTTTGGACCTATTTCTATATATTCTCTTCACCAGTGACTTTGCAACATTACTACTATAATAGCAACATTGGCTGGCCATATTGCGATTCTTTCTACAAAAGTATCTGCAAACGTTGATCCATTGCTTCACGTAATCTGCAAAGCCATCTAGATGATATTGAAGACTAAGCAAAGAAGGTTATTGAGGACTTAACGGACAAAATCTAATAGTGCATCTAGTTTGTCAGTGAGTTTTATATGATTCAACAGTTCACATCACTTTCAGAAGCTTGAAGATTATTTGAATGCTACAATTGCACCACTTCCTGAAACACCAGATTCTAGAAAGCTTGGGAAGTAGATCACAATAAAAAATACAAACTCTACAAAATCATTAGAGAACAGATTCTAGAAAGCTGGAGAAGAAAATCCCAATAAATAATATTCAAGCCATTACTTTATCATTAGAGTTCTAAGCCGTATTGGTAAAACACTCATCGAAGAGACTATTATTCAAATTTTATCACAATAATTTCATGCATTTTATGTACAAAAAAAGAAATCATGATCAATTTTGATTTGTTTTAAGCAATTTTAATATGTGAAAGTGTGCTGCAATTTTTGAAAATACAAAGATGAAATTTTATGCAGTCCTGAATTTACAATTCTCTCACTCTGGTTTTACTATATACTGGAGAGTAGTATCTGTACATACTATGACCCTTGGCTGTAAGTAGTATGATGCAAATGTTTTTTATTGCTTGGATATACTATTGAAATTATTTCAAAATTTAATTATCAATACCTACTTTTTATCCTTATTTTTCAGTAGCCTCACACGAGACAGTAAATGGGAACATATCATAGAAACTAGACCTTATACTACATATAGTATAAGGTCTATGGAACAAATGTCTACCATAAGTATCAACTATCCAAACAAGTTTGAAAATCTACATTCTACTGTTTTATATTTTAAAAATATTTTTGATAATTGTCACTTTTTCACAATGATTTTTTCTAAAATTAAGAACATCAAACAAATCATTAGAAATGTTTGGTGTAAAGGCAATATTAGGTATCAATCGACGCAAAAACCAGCTCCTGGTGCAGTCATGCTGTCGCATAATACTCTGGAACCGAGAAGTTTGACGGAACCTCTTGGACCACCTTTGTTAATCCTGCACGGACTGATGGGTTCTAAGCAGAACTGGAGGCAAATTTCTAAGCAGATTCATAATGGGATGAATCATGCCAGAAAGGTAATATAAATAAAACATAAAGATAAAGGATTATTAATTGAAAATGAACCTTTAACATTTAATTTTGGATATAATTCAATTATGTAAAAAAAAATGATAGGTTTGAGAATGTTTTAACTCCCCGAAAGAGGTTTATGTTTTTCCTGGCAAATTTTCTTGACGTTTCAAGTCATTCTGAATTCTAAATTTAAATCTAAATTTAGAAAAACAATGTGTATGTATGTAAGCAAAACATCAATTGACCTTTCGTCGACAAACGGCTGTACCGATTTCAAAAATATAAGCCATTTTTTTAAACAAAGTTTTGGCCGTTTTATTTTTATCAAATATTCAAAGATCCACGGATTTGATAAAATTCGATTACAATTGCGTAGATTAGTTTCGTGTGACGGTCAGCTGAGCAGTTTCTTTGTAATTGGTAGATAAAAGCAGAATTGTTCGTCGACGTTTGAACCGAAATTCCTGAACCAGCTTTTAGAAATTCTAGTTCATGATCTAAACAAACATCCACAAATATTACAGGCCTTGCAAATAGTGGTTTAATTATAAAGATTGTTAAATATATATTAAATTTGTTAAATAATTAATTTTTACTGATTAATTCGATTTTGTTTTTTTAAACATATCAGGAAGTTTTTGTAACTTGTCTTACATCTAGTTTAAATTCATATAATCTGTGCTCCTGATATCATTAAACAAATGATCAAGATCTTTAATTATTTTGAAATATCTGCTAAATTATAATTGTTTTTTTTTTTTTGTCTTTGATGATAATCAACTAGCTTGCATATATTTTTATAGAACCAATTATCTTTTACTAATTATGATTTTATATTTCAGATCATCCTTCTGGACAACAGAAATCATGGTATGTCGCCTAGAACAACTCATCACAGTCAAAAGTTGATGGTAGAAGATGTCTATCAGATGATTAGGATATTGCAATTGAATAAACCTGTGTTATTAGGTCACAGTTTAGGAGGAAGCACCATGATGTTCTTAGCTCTACTATATGTAAGTAAAATTATCACTGTATTTAGCAACTGAAAATTTCTTAAATATAATTTCCAATATTTCTTTTAATAAATTCAAACAAAAATGATTACAAAGATTATCCTGCTATAACAAAGTATTCCCAAACTCAAATAGCATTGAATACTAAATTTGATGACGAATATCCATCAAATTTTATATTTCCCAATTTCCAACAAATACTGCTTTTCATATTCCCTTCATTCCAGCCGGAATTGGTGTCTGGTTTGATCGTGGTTGAAATTTCACCACGAACTCACATCTTACCTCAAAGACTGATGCACCAGATTTTACCAATTCTAAAAAATTCTAAACTTGAGGCGACCGAGAAAAATCTGCAGAAGGTCAAACGGAGAGTTTATGAAGAGTTGGCCAGCAAAATAAAAGACAAACCGACTCTGGATTTTCTGATGCAGAATTTATATAAAGATGATGATGGGTGAGAAATAATATTTAAATAAAACATTTATCTTCGAATTGAATTATCTAATTTACTTTATAAATTGTAATATTCTCATGGTAACAAGCTTTATACAACATCATGTTAAAAGTTGTTTCTTAAATTGACTTTTTGATTTTGCTGAATTTTACAGACATTAAGTCAATGTTAATATTCTTTAATTATTATTTTTATTACAGGAAAATTAAATGGAGATTAAATTTAGAAACTCTTGGACAATCAAAGGTTGAAAAGTTTCCACATAAAGCCTTTCAATTGCAATATCCAGGTCCTTGCTTGTTTCTAGGTGGGCAGAGATCGGAATTTTTGAAGTAAGTGGAAAAAATATATGATAAATATAAAGGCACTTTGCAATTTCTGTTTTATAACTCATTTTAAAATACTTTGCAATAAAAAAGATCGAAATTTTTAATATAGCTTTTCTGAATTAACAAGTTTTTTCCCTCTATCATTAGTGTGATTTTATTAAAAATTCAAATAAAACAGTAAAACCATATCAAAATGGTTCAAATGAATTGCAAAGTGCGTCTATTAAATTATAAAAAAATCACACTTACAGAAATGTTTTTACAAAAATGAATTATTTTTGTGTATACGATATTAAACGATTTTTCTTATGAATAACAATCTTGAACGTATTAGGGATGGTACATTATAAATTTTAAAATTGCTCGTAACTAATAATTGAATGGCAGGCTTTCTGCATTATCACCAGAAAAATGTTTTAAAATTGATCAGATTTTATTCTTGGTATTTAGTTTTTACCCTGTGAACTTAACAAGTTATTGGGCTAAATTCCTGAATAGAACATGAATTCCTGAAGAGAGTTTGCAAATTGCTTTATTACTTAATTGTAGAAATCGCAAAGTTGACAATCGCTTTTGGCTATAATTTGGTGAAAGATTTCGATTGCACGAGATTCTACTGAAATTTATTGAAAAATCATCGTCCAGTTAATGTTGATTTCAAAGGAATTCTCTATTTTTACTCTTGCCACCAACCATCGAAATTAAATAACGCAGTCGAAAGGAAAAGCGGCCTAAATTGACAAATCGAAATGGTTATTCATTCTATTATTATCATTACTTATTTTTGTTCACTGGGCAAAAATTATTGGTGCTTGATGGAAATGTTTTGCCATATCCACCATATAGTTCTAACTTTGCACCTTCTGGTCACTTTTTGTTTCGATCTTCATAAAACTCTTGTAATGGTAAACAATGTTCAAGTTTTTCAACCAAGAAGATGACAAAAGGTCATTGATCGAAATGGAGAATACATTAGGGAGCAAGTTATTAAGTTCCATGAAAATTTTGTTTTTTTTTATTTCCTATAAAAAATCCGCACTTACTTAGTTGACAACCTAATAGTAATAACTTAAACATTAAGGGAATATCAAATAAGCCAAATTCGAAATAATTGGCAAAACCCAGAGGTGGACAAATACTAATAAAAATGTATAAATTATTATTAAGTTGTAGCTCAATTTCTAAATAGTTTATGTAATTATACCTAAAGAACACTCTGTTAAATCTGTGTTTTTCTATTAGAGAATCGGACTTACCTGATATCAGAAAAATGTTTCCTCGGGCGGAAATGCAGATCTTACAGAGCGCCAGTCATTTGCTTCTGGTCGAAAATCCGAAAGAATTCGTGAATGTCATTACACAATTTCTGAACGAAACTTTGAGTAATTAATCGGCATCTTTTAAAAACAACATAATAGTCATGATTAAAATAAAAATTCGTAATAACCTTATAACTGACTGCTAGCGATGCAGTTTTTGTATGTATAAATATGGTTTGTACTTATAATAAGTATACACTAGAAATAAATAGATGTTTTGAGAGCGTTTTTAAATTAATGAAAATCTTATAATTGCAATTACTGAATATCGAAATCGAAAAATATAAAAACAAAAAAAAATATTTATTTAATTTACTTTATTAAATTAATCCGCAAATTAAAAATCCACACATATTTGTAACTAAAATAAAACTTGTATTAAAATTAAAAGTGAACACCGCCGATGCAATCACACCAGTCTTTTTCCATAGCTATTTTTGATTATTGTTAAAATGAAGTAGATGTTAAAACTATTTTTATGGATTGTGAAGAACGTTGATGTTAATAACGAAAGCAGTTTTGTTAATAATAAAAAAAAACTTTATTCTACTTCTTACAACTAATTAACCAATTAATCTTACAATTTTAATCTTATCACACATATATGTATAAACTTCGACTGTTTTTGTTTTGCACTTGAGAAATAGTGGAAACACACTTTGTACTAACTATAAGTATTATGTGCTACAGATATAATACTTCAATAATATGCTAATTTATCTTATCTTTGGAAATTCATATAAAAAATTGTAAAATTCATATTATGTGTCGATGGGCATATTATCTCTTATCCACTTTGCATAATAAGCGATTCTTGTATAAACGCTTGCAACTCCTGCAGCACCACATTTGTCGGAACCGAACGACATCATGCCAACCTGGTGAAAAGTAAAATTCATTTTTGCGATAAAACATTTATATTTTATTATGTTCCGAAGCACCATCTGGATTCAATTTTTATTGTGAGCAAATTTAATTATTAAATGTTTTAAAGCTATCTTTTAACCTGTACAAATCGTTGACCGCGCCTTAAGACCAGTGGAGCGCCTCCGAATCCTTGGCAGGCGTCGCCTCCTGGTTCTCCGCCTGCACATAACCAGGCTCCTCTTGTGGGCATCACCACGTGTCCAGAATATAGTCGATTACAACGTTCGTTTTCGATTATTGGTACAGCTAAATTTTGTTGCTGGGATGGGTGAACTAAAGGAAAGGATTTTTTTTATTACTTTTATTTTATTTTCAATAGAAATCATAATACACAATATGAGCTGTCAATGTCAATATTTGTCTCTCCAACCAGTGATTCACCATTCAACTCAATTCTCCAAAAAATCAGTAAAGTTAATATGAAATATTTTATGAGCTTGTCTTATGGATTATGGTTTAAATATTCGGATGCAATAGTATTTATTATACGTATATGGTTTAAACCAAATTGTTTTTTCTAGTTTAGTTTATTTGCAAAATATGAAATAATGATAACAATAGTTGATTGTGCAAATATTGTATATTACCTGCTGGAACTGCCATTTTACCCCAACCTACAAGTAATGCTCGAATATTCACAAGATCTGTTGTCATATCATCGTAGAGACAGATTGATTGCGCCGTCACTGAAATAATATGAATATTTATTAATATACTCAATATAAATGATAAAACAGATTGAAAATAACTTTTTTCAATGATGTTCATGCTATTTTTGGAATGATCACTGTCAGGCATATGTTGGATAAAGAAAATCTTATTGCTCAAAGGACATGTGCGATTTTTCATTGATAAAGAATGTGCAAAGTTCATTTTCTGTGCTCAGTATTATTATTCCAAAATGTTACTAAAATCGTTACCAGAATAATTTAGCGGTGTCCTCAGCACCAGCAGTGCCACATCGTGGGAGTAGATTCCTTTTTGGTATCCTGGATGGACAATGATATGCGAAACAGCGTGATTTATTGCTCTTCTGGCACAGAAGGCATTTGCACAATCTGGATCTGTCGCCGTGTCCCAATCTCCAATTTTAACAGAAGTCCTGTAATAATAACATAAGATTTCAATTCCATGGATGCAAATTAGTCCAGCAAACCTTAATGATAACATGAGCTCTAGTAATTACAAAATGACCATAAAGCAGAGAGTCCTTTAACAAAATGGTAATAAGGCAGAGAGTTCTTTAACAAAATGGCAATAAGGCATAGAGTCCTTCAACAAAATGACAATAAGGCAGAGAGTCCTTTAACAAAATGGAAATAAGGCAGAGAGTCCTTGAACGAAATGGCAATAAGGCAGAAAGTCCTTTAACAAAATTTTAAGTTCTTCCGTAAGGATGCGGAAAAGAACCTAAGGCTTTCGAAAAGATATATCAAACTTGGAACCTACTGGTTGGAAATCCAAAGTTCAACCATAAGGATGCTGAAAAAAATCTCAGGCTTTCCAAAAGATATATCGATCTTGGAACCTACTGGTTGGAAATCCAAAGTTCTACCATGAGGATGCGGAAAAAATCTCAGGCTTTCCAAAAGATATATCGAACTTGGTACCTATTGGTTGGAAATCCAAAGTTCTACCATAAAATCTCGGAAAAAAATCTCAGGCTTTCCAAAAGATATATCGAACTTGGAACCTACTGGTTGGAAATCCAAGTTCTATCATAAGGATGCGGAAAAAATCTCAGACTTTTCAAAAGATATATCGAACTTGATACCTACTTGTTGGAAATCCAAAATTCTACCATAAATATGCGGAAAAAATCTCAAGCTTTCCAAGAGATATATCGAACTTGGAACCTACTGGTTGGAAATCCAAAGTTGTACCATAAGGATGCGGAAAAGAATTTCAGGCTTTCCAAAAGATATATGGAACTTGTAACCTTTAAGTTGGAAATCCAAAGTTCTACCATAAGGATACGGAAAACAAATCTTAGGCTTTCCAAAAGATATATCGAACTTGGAACCTACTGGTTGGAAATCCAAAGTTCTATCATAAGGATGCGCAAAAAAATCTGATGTCTGATTTAAAAGATCAACTGCACCCACTTGCAGAACACAACCATCACAACAAACATTGTTTCGCTTGTCGATTATCAAATTACATAATAAATCATCAATATCAACAGAAAGTGATTATCTTCATCGTATTTAGTAGCTTCTACAAATGCCATTGGTCAACAATATTTCCTTAATAATCAATGTAACATGAATGTAACTAATAATTATAATTAATAGGCCGACTTACAGCTTGTGTCCGTCCGCTTTCGCCAGCGCGCAGTGTGCCGCCGTCAGTATGACTCGTTTCGAGAGAATTGACCCGGTGCAAGGGTATAATGTGTTTCCAGTTTGGACGTCTGCCAATAATAATAAATAAAAAGTTTAAATAAATGTTGACATCTGATGTGTGCTGCAGAGAGTAATAAATAACTAGATAAATAAATTGCGTCAGGATTTAATGTGGGAACTAGAAGTTGATTTATGGTTTGTGGGGAACGCCTTTGATTGATTGGGATTGGGACTAGCGCTGTCTAATTCACTTTTAGATAGATTAAAAATCGTCTTCTAGATGATGCATTGTGGAAGTTAAGATAAAGATGGAGATTTTAAGAAATATAGATTTTAAGAACTGGGGATATAACTGTTTACTTTTAAATCCAATTCTTGCAACAAACGGAAAAGCTCCTAAGCCATTATATTGAGGTCCATAAATTAAACTCTTTCCACAATCCACTTCTGATTCTATAATTGGTGTATCGGCCTGAGGTTTTGTGCTTGGTCCAGGCTTTATTGGACAACACACCAGGGGATGCTGGCCTATGTTTCCACAGAACATTGAACTAGAAATAGATAAAAGAATCACTTGGTGTCAAATTTGGACATAATAGAAACCAATTTTTGTTAATTGTGTCAATAACTAATGTTGTAAATTATTAAATTAATTATTCAAATTACCTGTCTCCTTTTAAACAAGCGTTGGCCACGATTCCTGCAACTTTTGGACATTCTTCTATTCGGGAGCAAACTCCACCTAAGGGACAAGTGCCACTTGCTCTTGATTGCATCCAACCATCGTTGTATTGTTGATCAGTCGAATCATCAATTAATATTGATTCTGAAACAATAATTATTTCCTGAAACCTACTAGTTTAGTTAACTATTATCATCTAAAGCTAAACCATTTCTCTGTATGAAATATATAATGTGAGCCAAAAATAATAACTACAGCCAAAAATAATAACACAACTAACTCCCCCAAGTTTAAGTTAAACTATGAACAAAAATTTTGAGGGCCTAACATATGAATTTTATACAGGGTGTCCCAGGACTCAACGTGAATCTGTAAAGGGTTGATAGTATTGATAAAAACTATGACGATAAAAATTATAAAAATAATTTATTTCACATAGTTCGGAAACACTTCATGTCTGAAATTGTGTGTCTGAAAAATGTATTCCATGTGAGTTGGAAATTTTCCAAGTATATTTCATAATTATAAATTCTTTTCAGTAAAGTACATGAACCCTAAACTATTTTATTCGATTACATTCAAAGAGAAAGTATCACATCTATTCATGAATTTCTATGGAACGTTATTTAATTGTCAAATTACAAGTGAAATTGACGTTGACATGAAAGTTTTATTAGATAGTTTCCGGAACCGAAAAAAGAAAATTAAATTTACAGTTGGGAATAAATATAATAAAGGAATAAATTTTATTCAATATTTTTATTCTTACTTCAAAGAATAGGATATTAATACTTGAATTTTTACAAGTTTTTAGGAGTTTATTTGAAGATTTATAATAAAAATGCGTTATTGATTTTAGATTTTTATTTTTTAAGTATTGTTTGTACCATATTACAATGCTGATTGAATGTGCTTGCCAACGCATTTTATTGCATTTTTTTTTTAAAACAGGGTCTTTTGAATTCGACCAATTTTGAAAGGTTTAAGGTCACAGTTTAATTAATAGTCCTAATTCTAGAAAATTTGTGGTCATTGTATTATTATTTTTGACAGTGGTCCTAGAAATGTTATTCATGGTTACAGTTCCAAAGTTTAAATGACAAAAATAGTAAAAATTAAACACAATAATCAAAAACTGGTAACAGCTTCTTCAAAGCTCTAGATTGCACCTAAAAGCTCATAATTTTCAAACTAGATGATTTTTTTCTAATTTTTGTCATGACGTGTACGATCAATACTATCACTCCGTTTTGACTTGACGTTGAGTTCTGGGACACCTCGTATATATATAAAAAGCAAAATTTCGTTTAATGCAAAGGAGGTTTAAAAGGATAAATACAGATTCAGCAAATTTTCTGAGGTCACCATTCTTTTACTTATTGAAAATAATAGGATTTTTGGTATTAAAAGTATTGTTTAAATTAATGACATGTTCCGAAATCATAGTCTTATACTGATTTGGATTTTTTTATTACAATTTTGAATTAATTTCTCTTATAAATATATTGAGATATTTATATATATATATATATATATATATATATATATATATATATGTATATATAGTATGCATTTATTTTATTGTATATGCATACATATCATTTATAATGATATGAAAAATGGCATAAGTATTGCTCTGCAAATTATTATTTCTGATCCATTATATGATAAATTATCAAATCAGTTCACCTTGTTCATTGTATAGATATGAATGAAAAATATCACAAAGGTTCGATTGGCCTCGAAAAGTTATTGTTAAATAAAATTAGATGCCGTTATGAAAGTTCATTATTAAATTGCTCATATCGGAATAATTACAGAATTATGAGACTAGTGCAAATATCGCGAAAAACCCATGTGGTCATTGTAATTAATAATAAATTAATTCTGTGTTTGAGTTGGAAAAATTGTTGCTAAAGATACACGAGCGATCGAAATATGTAATGGTTTTCATAAAACCAGGATAGATTAAATAATCAATTAATTTCATTGACTGAGTCGATGCCACTTATACCTAGTTGATATAATAATTTTGTTTACATTTATGCTTTTAGGTGACCATTTGTATTTTCGCGTTTGTCATATAATTATCATTCATGAATTCTATCTATTTAGGTGATCAACGCGAATTTTTGGATGAGTTTTCACTTTTACTTTTTTATTGTCATACAAAAATAGATTTTAGATATCATTACCTATTTTCACTAGATGCTCCACAAAGATTTGATTATTGTTATTAAAATTAACAATTATTACGCAATATCATAGAATTCGCTCAGCGAATTTTTAATGAACTCATTCAACCGCATTTTGTGTATAAATAATCTAAATTTTGGAAATGTTTCAATGTGGATTATATTTTGGAATAGGAAATTGACTTGTTTGTGATTATAAACAATAGCATTATGATTTATCCATTTTTCCTAGTTTTGATTCAGTAATATTTTAGGATATTCATTTATATCATGAACTATATCGCTATTGTAGGTTTTATTCAAAACGCGAAGAAAAACTTTCTAAATGCTTGAATTCCCAACTCTGCTGATCTCTCTTATGAAATACTAGATCAAGGTTATGTGCCGTATTATCTTTGTACCCATGAAATTTATTTTTTGCGATTCTGGATATTTGGCGTGGATGATAAATTTTATATTTTTCTGCTAACTATGAAAAAAGCGTCTTGGCCGATCTTCGTGCGAAAGTAATCAATGAATTACATGGTAATGCTTCTACATCTTTAAAATCGGTTCTGCCCTTTTTTTGAAAACAATGACCAAAGGTACAGAAATCGTGTTTTTCATAAGATATTCAAAATAAATAAATAGTTATTTTAACTCTTATGATAAATATTTTCTCCGAAATACCAGATCAAGGTTATATACAGTGTTATCTCTATGAAAAATGTACCCATGCAATTTATATTTTGCATTGATTGAATAATGTAGCTATTATTTCATAAAATCCCTTTAAAATTAAAAATAAGACTTTGGATTTGTTTGCGCCCTGGCCGTCCCATTTCACCCCGCCTATGGGGTAAAAAGAACCATATGACATTTTTTTGAAAAACAGCAAAAAATCACATTTCTAGAATGATGAATTCGCTTTGAGTTTTACTGGATATAGTCCGATAATAATTTGTTTGATATGTGTTATTTGTTGTGACATAATTGGTTTGGTTTTCACAATATAATTGTTTAAAGTCAAGTTGGACCTTTGTGCCCCGCCCTACCCTGTATATTTAAGTGATCTTTCTGGATAACTATTATTATTTATGATTTTTAAATTACTGAAAAATACAGTTCTCCAAAAAATTATTTATTTATTTTACAATTATTTTATTCAACGCTTGGAAGATGAGGGATGTCCTCTTTTTTAGGAACTGTTCATAATATAAATAAAAAAATATACATTTATGCATTTATTTAATTATTTAAAATAGAAAGAATTCACATTTTACCTTTAAAATTCAATTTTTTTAGATGAAACTTGAGGGTTTGAATACGTTTTTTTATTTATCAATAGTTCCCATATCTCAGGGAAGGTTCAATAAAATAATTGAAAAATTAAATACATAATTTTTTTTAAGAAACTTTTAGTTTAGAAATTTAAAAATCATATATAATAATAGTTATCGAGAAAAAGATAACTAATATTATTTATGATTTTTAAACTTCTAACTAAAAGTTTCTTCAAAAATTATTTATTTAAATTTTCAATTATTTTATTCAACGTTTGGATCATAAGAAATGTCCCAGGAAACGTTGATTAAAATAATTAAATTAATTTAAGAAAAACTAAACAAATAATTTTCTGGAGAAACTTTTAGTTTAGAAATTTAAAAATCATAAATAATAATAGTTATCTATAAAAATCATATAATATATGTGTGTGTATAAATGAGTTATTTCTAATGATAGGACGTTATAAGAGAAAAAGAAAGAAAGCATTTAATAGAAATTAAAAAAATATGAAAAGATCAATATTTATACATATTTTTATACTTATATACGTATATATATTAGAGTGGTTCTTATTATGGATATTTCCGATTTTTTTGCTCCCAGGGGCTCAAATGCTTCCAAATTCATAAAAAAATTCTGAAACTTTTAGCTCTGAAGATTAACTTTAAGATAGTCCGCAGTCCAACTAAAGTTTCTTGGTTCTTCTTCCTGAGTAAATACTAATTTCATGAAATATATCAAGTTTTTGTTGCAATTTTTTATTTATGATCAAAATAAGCAAATACAATTTTATTCTCAAAATTTTGATTTACTTGTCGCTAAGTTATAAAATTATAAAAAACAAATGGAATTTTACCCATGTTATTTTCATAAGAGTGCTATTTTCATCTTAAAGTTAATATTCGGAGCTAAAACTTTCAGAGAATTTTTTTTATCAATTTAGAAGCATTTGAACCAATGGGAGTAAAAAAAATTGAAAATATTCATAAAGGACCACCCTAAATATATATATATGTCATATATTTTGTACTAATTAATACTTTCAGTATGTATATATAATTGAGATGTTTATAGATAATCAATCATCAAATTGTAATAAAACTTGTCCAAAACTTGAATTAATCTCACCCAAGTATCTATCTTCAAAATTCTGGCAATATCCAATTTCGTAAAAAATCGTTTGCACCACAAAAGCTAAAACTATTACCGGAGTCATCCTTTTAAATATGATAACGCGCGCGCTTTTCAAACACGACTGATCCGGCTGCGTCAAAATGATAAATTATGATTTAGATGACAAAGGACGGTCAGTACGAATTTACATGACTGCAAAAATAATAACAAAGTTGAATAGAGAACTAATATGTCAACGTTTAGGACAGGTGCGTCCAACCTTCTGTTATAGATATAGAGATTAACAGAGACTTTTTGGTATTAGCCCGAAAAAAATATAAAATTATCTTCAAAGTAGCACAGCATATTATCCTGATGGTTACTGGTTGATTATATGAATATGCTCCATGAAGTATTGATTAAATATGGATTAATTTCTCAAAAAAAATTCATGTTTTCGTCAGAAAATCCGATTAGTTAATTTCAAGCTTTCTCGACGTTTCAAGTCATTCTGAATCGTTTGATAATATTGGAAAAGGTATATATGTTTCTGAGCTAAAATTGGACCTTTTATCAACATTGTCCCATAAATGGCCGCACCATCTGATGAAACTCGATAAGAACTCGTGTGGAATGGTTTTGTGCAACAATCGTCCGGGCCGTTTTTTTATAATTAGCACATAAGTGGAAAATTACTCGTGAATGGCCGTGCCATTTGTTGATTTTTTTGACGATTTTGATTAAACTTCAGGAATATCTTGAAATATTAGGTGGACCTGCAAAAAGTAGTTTGATTACAAAAATCCGTTAAAGTTTAGAATAATGTCAAAATATCAAAATTCTCACAATTTTTAACAATTTTACATGATGCTAATTGCTAATTCTTAATCATTATTGATAAAATCGATTATTTGCACAGATTGTTTTGCTACTTGCGTATTGCATAGTTATTTATGTATGTATAATAATAATAAGTATTAAATCGTTAACAATAATCCAAAGTAATAGTTCTTTTATTGAAAGAAGTCTTCTAACTTGCTTGTAGGTAATTCAACTTATAAATTTTGTAAACTACACTTTCGTAATAATTTTTGGGATCGTAACTTGGGTTTTTATGAAAAAATCTAACCCGGGGCATAAAGTATCTTATGGTTTAGACAATTTCATTTTATACTCAACTGATATTATAATTACAAATTAATATGCAATACCATGTGTTTTATATTCATTTTATATAATTAGAAAATTTTTGGTTTATTTTCGAAAATAGTATTTTGAAAAGAACTGTACGCCTGGATTTTTTCGAATTTTAACTCTTATTTTTGGGTCAATGCACGGGACATCAGCATTCATTTTAGAGGTACCGTTTCTTCAGCAAAGTATCTTATTTTGACCCCTAGTATCCAAAAATCCTATGTGCTCAAGCGACTTTCTTTGACCCATACAAATCGATCCGCTATATATATATATATATATATATATATATATATATATATATATATATTAATTTATTATTGCTATTATTTATGAATTAAGTTGCGGAGCTAATTGGTTGCCTTCCTCTGGTTCCGATGTATATGACCGGAAAAGAATATTGCTATTATATTATGATTGCTATATGAAAGAATTGATGATTATAAATATTCACAATCGTTACGAATCTTTTTTGTTGATTCATTATCGATAAAAAAACATATATGTTCATTCTATTCGTTTTATGATCATATGCAAAGAGGTGTAGTCTAGTGCACAATAATAAAAAAAAATTATATACAAAACAACGGATTTGAATTGATAAATTAATTTAAGCAAATGCATAGATTTTATCTAAAGCTTGTTTATTTTATTTATACCAAGATTACTTACTTGTGGTATAAAATATTGTGTTTTTCCTTATTTTCTTATTATTTGTTAATGACTATGCATTAATAATTATATATTTTATAATCCTTTTTAATCATAACTGCGTATATAAATATTTATAATTTTATTCCACTAGATTATTTATTGAATAAATTTTCCTAACACAAGTTATAAGTTTTTATTACTTAACGCGTTAAAAATATCATTAAATATTACACTGATTCTCAACATATATTTTGAATAATAAATTTATTTAATAAAAAAAAAAAAGTTAATAAAAAATATATAGTTAATAAATAAACTGTATAAAAATAAATATGAATGTGTATCTGTAAATAATTACACACATATATGGTTGTAGGTACATTTAAATTGGAATATAATTATTTTAAATTATTTAATAAAAAAAAATAAACAAAAATAAACAAAAATCATTAAAAAATATTAAAGTCACGAAAGTCAAGAATAAAAACTTTTTTGTTATACTATTATTTAATATATTATTTATATGCAAATAATAGTATAAGCAAATATTTTTATAACGATTCTTGTAATAATTTTCATTAATTACATATTAAATATTAGATTATAATCAGTAATATTGAGAAATACTTAATATATTTGTTACTGCCATCCAATTAGAATGCTTAAGTGAATCTCAATCTAGAACACTTTCTGCATTTTAATTAGTTAATACTTAAATATTCTTAGTTGTTATTCATGTAAGTTAAATTAATTCTTAATTGGTTTAAAAATTACTCAAGAAGATGATAAATTCAAATGATTTTACTCAATTAATGCTATTCAATTTTTTATAATAATTCCAGATTTATATACTACCATCTTTTAACTTAGTTGTGGCTTCAAAAATAAATTAATATCATAAATATAATTTACTAAATATTAATTAACTGGCAAAAAGCAGTAAACACTCTGACCTTGCACTCACAAGTTTTCTCTTTCAAACTCCGCATTGCTTACAACCTGATATCAAGCAGTAGCAATATTAATTATTTCTTGCAAATATAATTCAACATATGTTTTCAAGTGAAAATAGTTTTTCCTGGCATTTCTGCTTAAAAGTTATATTTACATGTATACAAATAGACAGGTACACAGGTGATCAGATTAGAAAGTAGACAGGTAGGCAGGTTTGCAATTATAACTTGAAGGCAGAAAGACAGGTAGGCAGCTACACAATTAGACAAGTCAACATGATATCAGATTAACTGACAGACAGATATAAGCTGGTTAACAAGTAGACAGATAGGAGGAAAAAAGATGGACAGGTAGACAGGTAAACAGGTAGACATATAAATATAAAGACGGGTGAACAAGTAGAGGGATGAACAAGTAGAAGGAAATAAATGCTACACATTTAGACAAGTAAACAGATAATCATATGAACTGACAGGCATATATAAGCTGATCAACAAATAGATAGAGAGGAGAAACAAAGATGGACAGGTAGACATGTAAACAGGTAGATATGTGAATAAAACGACGGGTGAACAATTAGAGGGATGAACAAGTAGATGGAAATAAATACTGCACAGTTAGACAAGTAAACAGGTAGTTAGATGAACTGACAGACAGTTATAAGCTGGTTAACAAGTAGGCAGATAGGAGGAAAAAAGATGGACAGATAGACAGGTAAACAGGTAGGCATGCGAATAAAAAGACGGGTGAACAAGTAGAGGGATCGACAAGTAGATGGGAAAAATGTCGAGAAGTAGTCAGGTAGGCAGGCAGGCAGGCAGGCAGGTAGACAGGTTGACATATCGATTATTTACACATAATTGGAAGTTCAGGAAACTTCCACAAGGCAACAAATAACAAGGCAAAATGCTACATACAACTAGTTTAATTTAATTCTCCAAAGTTTCTATAGAAAACATTGCACATCTCCAAAACGTTGATATAATCATATATGAAAAAAAACAAAGACTATTTTTTTAATTAAAAAAAATAAGCTCACTAAAGAGAACGTCTATACATAATTATTTCCATGATATTTTTGTATAAAAATACATAAAAACAAATAATTTTTAAATGCCAACAACCATCATACATGTTTACATGTCATGTAATTAAATTACAACTTACTACAAAAAATAATTAAAATAACAGTTGGCCCACTGAGGGTCGCCGTAGGGCCTTACTTAATGTAATGACAGTCGAATTGTGTAAACAGAACTATAAAGTTATATAAAAATATTCTTACCGGCCGTCCTTGAATTTAAATATTTCTTGAATTATACATTAGCCTTGCTATTATTTTGTCTTGGCTGTATGGCTGTACATCCAATGACTCGTAATTTTTTGTAATTACATGGAACACAGAATAGTTCGAATGAAGGAAATGATTTTGGATAAATATGCAATAAAATTATAAATAAATATGGCATTTATTTACTAGATTCTAGAAAGCTATTATGGTAATATGAATTTAATAGTTTCATAATTAAATAATAGTAGATGCTTCATTAATAGATGCTTCATTAAAATTATTATAGTTCTGGAGAGCTCTTGAATTTTTTTAGTGTTTTTATCCATTTATTTGATTGGATGTTCGAAAAAGAACCATATATCAATATACATATATGACTTATCTGCCTATTGAATAAATATCGGTGAAAATGTTAAGACTTCTACGAATGTCAATGTGTTTCTAAATTTAACCACCGATTTATGACATAATTCAAGTATCAACACATAATGCATTCAGACAAAGTATTATTGTAATTAGACAATTCAATTAGCATTGTAACTAGTAGACAGTTGTCATTAAAGCTGTCGCCTCGAGAATAAGAACTTTACTTTACTAACCATGATGATGAGGAAGACACCCAAGTCGTTAAGAAATTTCCATTTCTTGATGGAAAGGTTAATTTGATATGAAAGAGAAATTAGAAAGATCGAATTTGATCGGTTATATAAAATGAATTTGATTTTGAATTATAGTTATATAACTCGTATTGTGTCGATTTGATATATGAACAAGTAAAAGAAATTATGATACGGCCAATTTATTGCTAATGGTGCGTGGCATCGTGCCTTAAGGCAAATTGCTAGAACTTCCCGTACCAAAAATTAATTTTCTTAAAAAAGATTAAAATTTCTTCTGAAAAAAAAATATTTTTGAGAAATTTTAAATTTTTGAAAATAATTGACTTTTTTGGTTAAAAGACTTTGAAATAAAAAGTTTTCTTTATTTTGAAATATTTTGGAAGTTTTGAACTTTTTTCAAAGCGATCGCACTGCTTTAACTGCA